GGAACTGCTGTATGATATATGATAGAACTTTTCGTTCCTATGTTGTCTTAAGTCATGTTTTTGTTCTTGTTGATGTGTTTATGTGTGTAAAATAAAAACTTAAAAAAAATAGAAAAACTAAGTAGGAAAAGCACTCAAAGCATAGTTTTTACAATTCTTTGTAACCTTTTAGCTGTTATGCTTCTCGAGGTCAGTATTTTTCAACTTCATTAAATTTAAAATGTGTGGACATCAATTCCTCAGGCCATACATCTTAAGGTTGAACACTGAACTCGGTTACATGATTAATGTGCATGAATATACGAGAGGACCAGTTGGCAAAATTCTGAGTCCCTATCCAACTTCTTTGCCAATATTTTTTTGTGATACAGTTGTTGGTTGAATCCAACCCAATTTCAAGCAGTGTCTTGCTTTTATTGCCTTCTTATCCAAAAGTTTCATCCCATTTTAGTTAGTTTCCATATAGTTTTCTTGATAATGCACACATAGATGTCAGACTCGGCCAAGAACAATGTAGAACAATCTAGTTGGAGTTCTTTATTTGCTTATACACAATGGACAGAATTTTGCCAGACTAAATCCTTACTACTCTTACCCTAATGGATATACCTTTGGAGATTCTAAGGAATGGCTACCTCTTCCTCCTTCCTGGGAAACTGCCACTTCATTGTAGTCCATCACACCAGCTCCATGTCCATAGGCATCACCTCTCATAATAGGATGGACAGCAAGAGTCTAATGCTTTTTTACTCAATTTTTTCCAACATTCTCTTGTTTGGAAGAATAAAAATAGGCTATAGAGAACTATTGCTTAACTGGAATTCCATCCGGCACACTAGAAATAAAGTCAAATTGAAAAATTGAGATAGGTTTATGTTCTGTGAAGTGAGCTTTTTAAAACTTTTTAATCTTTCCCTGTGCTTTTCTTTGATATATAGCATATTCTCCTTCCTTCCTTCCACTAGAATCTCAGTAGCATGTAGTCTGAGTTCTCCAGGTTTGTGACCTCAGATGCAATTGATATGAATGCCAGCTAGAATAACTACTGATGAATAGGTACCTTATTGTGTTTTGGAGAAGTCAAGAACAATTTACTTATCAAATTTATATGACCTCTTATATAGTGTATATAGTGTATAGAAGTTTATAAAAAACAAATAAACAAACCAGAAAAGTATATTAAGAACAATCATTATAAAAGTATAAAATAATAGGGACTACAGGGTCATAAAAAGGAAGATTTTAGTTTTATCACAGTGCATTGGTGAAACCTCAGTTCAGATCCTTATTCAGCCATGATCCTGTACTAGGGTTTTAGCATGTCTCAACCTAACCACTCTCAAAATCTTGCTATGCTATGAAATGTCTCTAGAAATGTAGTAAAGCACATCTACAAAATCCTGAATTTGAATCAGTTATGATTTATTATTTAGACTTTTATGCCACGCTTCCTAAGATTTCCAATTTCAGAATGGGCATTGGTTTCTTACCTGATACGCCCTTTCTCTGGGCAGGTGGAGACAGCAGCCATGCATGGGTTAATTCTGTCATAGCACCTGAGGTGTATCCTGCCGCTTCTTTGACAAAGTTGAAAAGTAGACTGCTGTGCTCTATTCAAGTGCTCTCAAGTGATCATCACTCCAAAGTCCCTCTTTGCCATCCCTCTATGACCTAGGCCCACATGGAGATCAGGGTGGGGATGGCTGCTGTCTCCACCTGCCCAGAAAAAGGGTGTATCAAGTAAGAAACCAATGCCCATTCTCCAAAGTTGGTGGAGACAGCAGCCATGCATGAGACATACCAAAGCTTGGCCTGTCCACAGGTGGGATTGCGTCTGGCCTAGGTATCCAATGAGGGAAACGCGTGTTGTAGAATCCGCCTTCCGAAGGCTGCATCGCCAATGCATACTTGTCTAATTTATAGTGGCGAATAAACAGTGTTGGAGTAGTCCAGCAAATTTCTTCTACAGAGGCTTGCATAGTCCATACCACAGAAGTTACCACACTGCGAGTTAAGTGTGCTGTGATGTTAGATGGTGGAGTGAAGTGATGAATGAGCTTGATAAGCCTTCGAGATGGAGGACCTAATTCAGTGCCCAATAATGGAAGGTGGGGCCTTAAGTCCCTTGTTGATGGAATGAAAGGAGATGAAAAGAGCCTCAGTACGTCTGAAGTCAGCTGTCCTGCTGATATATACCTTGAGGGCATAGCACACATCCAGTGTGTGCCACTTTCGTTCGAGCATGTGCATTGGATTGGGACAAAAATTAGGAAGAACCAGGTCTTGAGATCTATGGAAGGCCAAATTTACTTTAGGAACGAAGGTGAGGTCAAGCCGAAGGATGACTCTATCCAAGTGGAACACACACAGGTCAGATCTGACGGACAGTGCCGCCAATTCCAAGACTCGCCTCACCGAGGTGATGGCAACTAAGAAGACCACCTTCAGCATGAGATGCTGTAGAGAGGAAGACCTCAAAGGTTCAAATGGTGGTTCGGTGAGGACGTATAGGACTTTGGCCAGATCCCACATAGAGAATCTGTGGATAACCAGAAGGCTTAAGTTAGAAGCGCCCCAGAGGAATCTCTGCACGTGTGGGTGCAAGGAGAGTGGTTCAGAATGATACAGTGTGAGAACTGAGGAGAACGCGGCAAACTGCCACCTGAGGGTAGTTAGGAGAGAGCCCTTTGTCAAGGCCAAGTTGCAAGAATTCTAAGACATCAGCTACTGAAGCTGTGAGCAGAGCAATCACTCGAAGGTGGCACCATGCATCAAACTGCTGCCAAGTGGTGTTGTAGATTCTATTAGTAGAGGAGCGCCAATATGCTTGAATTCTCGTGATTACCTTATTGGAGAGCTTAGCCACTGTTAAGGCCAACTGCTCAGTCTCCAGGGGGTTAGACAAAGCCGTTGGAGGTCGGGGTGATGAATAGACCCTGGTTGAAGAAGAGACTTGAGCATGGGGAGGTGCCAAGATGGAACCACTGATAGATTGATTAGGTCCGCACACCATGGTCGACGCGGCCAGTGGGGTGTGTGTGATGAGAATGAGCTCCTCCTCCTCCTCTAGCATTTTGTGTATCACTCTCTGTATCATGGGGAAGAGAGGGAAGGCGTAAAGAAGCCCGGAGGGCCATCTGCACCTCAAGGCATCCATCCCTTCCACTCCTGGTGTCATGTACCGAGCAAAGTACCTGGGGTGTTGTGTGTTGGACCGAGTTGTGAAGAGATCCAGGATGGGAACCCCATACCTCATGGTCAACTGTCTGAAGATGTAATGGTTCAGGCTCCATTCCGTTTTGTCAATTGTCATGTGACTTAATCGGTCCGCCGGTGTGTTGTCGATGCCTGAAATATGTTCCGCATGGAGGGAGAGAAGGTTGGTTTCCACCCAGATCCTCAGGCAAAATGCCGAGTCCATAAGAGATGGCCCTTGTCCCCCCCTGGTGGTTGGCATGTGCCTTGGTCGTCGTGTTGTCTGTGAGAATCAGTATGTGGGAGTTGTGACCGAAAGTGGAAGAGGGCCAGGTGGATCACCCTCAACTCCAGCCAATTCATGCTGTGGACTAGGTCTGAACTGGACCACAGGCCTTGGGCCACCTGAGAGTCTAGGTGGGAACCCCGCCCAATGAGACTATCATCAGTCATGATGACAAGATGCCAGGGCTCCCTGAAGAGGGACCCCTGGGAGATGGCCGGGGAGACCCACCAGTCTAGAGATTTGATCACCTTTGGAGTGAATCTGATCTTCATCAAAGAGCAGCTGCTGTTAGTCTTCTGGAATGGCAACAGGAACCACTGGAGACAGTGACTATGAAGCCGTGCCCACGGGACGATGGAGAAGCAAGAGGCCATCTTTCTTAGCAACTGAGACAGTTGGATCAGCGGAACCTGTTGCTTGCTCCTCACTTCATTGGCCAGGTCCCAGAGACTGACCTGATGCTCTAGAGACAGGAAGACCTTCCCCTGAACAGAATCTATCAGGGCTCCCAGGTGCACCAACCAGGAGGTGGGAACGACCTTTGACCTTCCTGCTTCTTGGTTGCAGCTTGAAGGACCTTGCATTTGTCCTTAGACTCCACCAAGAGAGGTTCTAGTGAAGGTCAGGAAAGGAGATTGGTGGAGTAAGAAGAGGAAGCGAGCCTCCACTTAGTTCTGGCATCATCCTGCCACTGCTTAAGCCAGAGGCGCCAGCATGAGGTGATAGAAGATGCGATAGACTTAGATGCAAAATGGGCCGCATCTAGAGATGCATCTGCAGTGTATTCTAAGGCCGCCTTCGATTTATTGATGTCCCTGTGGGCTCTGGAATCTCCAGAAGGGAGTCTCTCCTGGAGCTGTCTCAGCCAAAAGAGAGCTGATCTACTGAAGAATGAGGCTGAGGTTGCAGCACAGACGGCCCATGCCGAGGCTTGATGCCCTTTAATGAGCATTTGTTCAAGCCCCTTGTCCTCTGGGCAAAGGGAGTCTTCTGGGGTGGCCAATACCACCGGTAAGTCGATGGAGGGCACCTCGAGTGCCTTGGAAAGTTCTGGTCCCACATTGTACAAATGCTTGTCCAGAGTGTTGGAGAGAGGGCCTGTACCTGGAGACACCCACTGAGTCTGGACCACATCGATGAAAAGCATGGGAGATGGAATCACTTCCTTTTCCACCTGGGGTTGGACGAAGAGTAGGTCAGTGGTGTCCTCTTTGTCCGGATCCATTCCCTGGGATGCCTTGGGAGCAGGCATCCCAGGGAATGAGAGTGAAGAGAGCGAAAAACAGCTGGTTTAAAAAGACCAACAAAGGTAGGTGGGTCTGGGAGTAGGCCCTTGTCTTCTGACAAGTCCGAATCCCTGGCAGGGCATTCCTACTCTCCAAAGACCGATGGTTGGCCGGAGATACCAGGAAGCTCGTGTGATGAGGAGGCCGAATCTTCGTCGTTCCTGTCTCTTGAACCAGAAGAAGATCTGCGTGGAATAGAATGACAAGAAGACCTGTGCTGGAGCCCCACTGCAATGCCCCTTTCAATGGTATCCGAGATAATGTTAGCCATATCTGGAGTGTAAGGAACAGGCCTGAAGGGAGGGGACCCAGAATTCTGGGACAGGAGATCCTGCTCAGGGATCAAACTCCTATCATCTCCTGACTCCACCCCACTGGGGTGGGGGTTTCCTGTGCCCCTGGCCTCCTCAGGCGGCAGCAGTGGTGGTGGCAGCAGCGGTGGTTTTGGTGATGGTGGCGGTTTCAGTGGTGATTTCAGCGGTGAACAGGAAACTGCCAATAAGGTAATGGCCTCCAACAGCCGATGCCTGGCAATGAAGCAGAGTGGGAGCTCCTCGAGGCTGCTGCAGCCGCAAATGGAGGTCCAGGAAGGCTGGAGGCCACAGAGTCACCTCATGGGCCTACCTCCCTTTGGGCCTCAGGAAGGTTGCTGGGACCATGCGCCTACGGTGAGGCACTAATGCTGCTGAGTTGGCAATCCCAGCCTTACTCAGGCCAATTTGAGGCATGGAATCTTTAAAGTAGTTTTTGTTAAAGGATAGCCACTTATTTATAATTTTTTGAATCCAAGTTTGAGGAGAAAGCAGTTAGCACAGCCAGTCCAAGATCAACTGAGTCTAAAAAAGCGGGAGAATAGACCTCAGTTGCTATGACATCATTTTGTAGACTAGTCCTATTGGATACTGGTAGAGTTAACCCGTTCATGGCTGCTGTCTCCACCAACTTTGGAGAATTGCCTATACTTTTCTAATCACATTGTGGTATAAGCAGAAAGAATGCTACCATAATAGTTTTACTATAATTAATCTTGTCCCTTTCTCTCCTACAGGAAAGAGTTGAGTTTGCTTCAAAAGTTATATGGTTTGTATGATACCGTGATGAACAATATAAGTGGCTATTATGAAATTCTTTGGGGAGATGTTGACATTGAAAAAATCAATGCTGAACTTTTGGAGTTTCAAAACAGGTGAGATTGCTTCCTATATAAACATCTGCACTCATCTTCTTTAACATTAACACTTAATTTCTGATAATTCTATATCTTATCCCACAATAGATTTATTCATGTTAAAGGCTAGCATTGGAACCATTCATGGAATCCCTTCTAAAGTTCTCTAAATAATGGAAAAGTTGGTTCAAATTGAGGGAAATTGCCTATTTGAAAGGGAAGAGTATCATGCAGTCACTGAGATAATTCAGCTGTTATTGCTATACACATTTCTGTAGGCTAAATCTGCTGCCCTTTAAGAGGCAATGCACAAAAGTGTAATTTTTAAGGAGTGCTTTTAGGTTATTTCATATAGAATTTCATTTTTGTTCAGATAGTTGCCCCACTTTTCTCTTCATTCTTTTTTTCTTTTAGAATAGTATTTTTATTGCTTTTTTTCCCAATGAAAGGTGCCGCAAGCTACCTAAAGGGCTTAAAGACTGGCAAGCATATTTAGATCTTAAAAAACGAATAGATGATTTCAGTGAGTCTTGTCCACTGCTGGAAATGATGACCAACAAGGCTATGAAACTAAGACACTGGAACCGGATCTCTGAAACAACCGGGCACCCATTTGATGTGGAATCTGATTCCTTTTGCCTTCGGAATATCATGGAAGCACCACTTCTCAAGCATAAGGATGATATTGAGGTAGCCTTCCCTATTGCTGCATTTTATATTTAACATCAGGAAACATGCTGTTAATGCTTTTATCTGCTGTTTATTTTTTACAATGGGTGGTTTTAATATTTTTCAATGTTTTTATGTTGTAAGCTGCCTAGAGTTATTAGATATAAGATGGGCAGCAAACAAAATTTATAAATAAATAAATACACACACACACACAACACAAAAATGTCTCTCTGTGTATGTATAGAAGGGGGATGCTAATACATAATGTAATTGTATTGTATTGTATCGTATCGTATCGTATCGTATTGTATTGTATTGTATTGTATTGTATTGTATTGTATTGTATTTATTAGTTTTGTATGCCGCCCACTCTCGGAAGACTCCGGGCGGCTTACAATA